AAAAAAAAAAAAAAAAAAAAAAAAAATCCCCAGCGCCCGGGGAGCCCCCGCAGAGGGCAGGCGGCGTCTCCCGCACCAGGCTCGGCGGGGCTTTGGGCCCTCCCATGCATCCTCTGTCCCCAAAGTTTTGCCCGGCTGGTCCCTGCCTGATGCACAGGCCTCCCCGGACCTTGCCAGGCACTGCAGGGGAAGGTGTACTGGTCCAATAAACCAGCAAAAATGAGGATAATTAGGTAAATTAACAGGAAGAATGCACCTTCCCCCTCTAGAAAAGGGAGCAGGAGGCGTGAGGAGGGCAGAGCGGCACTGAAAGGGCTCTGGAGCCGTCAGCTGTCGGCACGGTCAGTGCTGCCGGCCGAGCCCACCCGTGGCTCCTCTGAGGAGCCGCTCGGCCGCTGGCCCCTGAGCTGGCATTTCATCAGCGTGCTCGGCCCCTGCCCCGGCTGGGCTTCACCCCCCACGCCGGCAGCACCCCTGGGCTGTCCCGGGCAGATGCGGAGGTGACGAAGGGAGGGTGTTGTGCTACGGGTGCTAGGGCAGATCTGCCGTCTGGGACGGGAGGTGACACGTGGGGACCTCTCCTGCTCTTGGGCGAGCCTGGGTGACGTTAAGCCTTAGGACAGCAGCTGGGTTTAGGAGGCCTTGTGCTGTATGTAGCCTGGGCCCTACAGCTGACAGACGACCCTGGCAGCGCGCGATGCACAGCGCAAACGCTTGCTAGCATAGTGCTGTGGTTTTATTTTTTTAAGCACAGCACCTTCCATTACTCTCTATATTCTTTTTATAACAAAAGTAAGGTAAGCAGCCTTTCTCGTTTCTTTTTTTTTTTTTTTTTTAATGTAGCTCCTAAGTCCCTTCTTACAGTATCTGTGAAATTTAAACAGGCATAAGGCAGGTTAAGGTTAAAGCTGGCTTTAGGAATGGATGTTGGTCCCTTAGACACACAAGTAATTGACCTAGATGTGATAAATGTGTATGGTGTAATAATAAATCAGGGCAGGCTGGAAGCACTCAGCCTCCAGGAATGAGACAGTTTATGATTTAGTCTGTTTGCTTTCTGCATACCTACGTGAGATAGCTCGATATAAAGTTACTCATAAAAACCAGAAGAGCTGTGGGTTTGGGTTCCTGTTCGCTGTGCCCCGAGTCCCCCCCCAGTGATGTCACTCTCCTGTCACCCCCCCTCCGTGTGACCGCCTTGCTGGGCTGGGAAGGCAGGCACGGCGGTGTGAGGTACGGCAAGAGCTGACTATGTCATTGCGTGGTGTTCCTGCACGCCACGCGGGAGGGCAAGAACAACGCTGCGTCCGGCGGTGGGAAAACTCATTAGTATAATGACTGGAAGTGGAATGGAGCCAGGAATCTACAGCTGTTTGTTCTTCACTAGCAGAAGATGCTTTGGCATCCCCAGCATTTTCAACCAGTTCACTTTCATCGGAGTGATAGCACTCAGTGCAGCATCTTACCCCTTCTTATATATCAGTTAAAAGCTCCAGTAAACCCCTCACATCATCACTCCCTGTAACCGCCGAGATTCCACATTTCAGCATTTCTAAGGATCAGAGCAAAAGAGACTGCTAGAGTGAGCTCCTCTGGTGCATTATCCTTTGTGTTCCGCAGAGGCTCTGAGCAGTTCCCAGATCACCCTTCTACAGGATATCTCTGTTTAATCTTTAACAAACATCTCCTCAGGGCATTCTTCTCGGAGGCCTTCACCTCTCAGAGGGAGCCAGGCAGGTTCATAGGCTTGCTCTCCAAGGAATTGTAAATAGGCTGCTGATGGAGCGTGGGACCTCAGCCTGCCTCCCCTCCCCTTTAAGCTGGGGGGGTGGGAGAGCCCGTTGTGACCCAGGTTGTGGGGGCAGCACATTGTCCCGGCTCACCAGGCCACCTAGACCAAGAGAATAGGGAATCCGTGTGAGGCCGGGATTCCTTTGAGATGGAGAAGGCTTTGTCTCTAAGAGCCAAGGGGGTTAGCTGGTTGGAAGCTCCTGAATCTCCTTTCTAGAAGCTAGTCAGCCCCGTGTTTTTATCTGCTGTCCCAGCTGGTCAAGAATAAGTTTCATTTACACCATGCAGACACGAAATTAGTAAGGGTTAGTGATCAGATTCACCCACAATCTGCTCTTTAACTCCAGCGTAGCAAACTGCACGTACCCGCACGTGTTCTCCTCCTGCCTGAGGTCTGCCTGGCAGGACACGTTTTTTTGAGCTGCCCCTTCTAATTACAGAGCTAACGTTCTCAATACAAGGAAGGCATAATTACCCAGCAAGTCCCTGTTTGCTCCACAATGAGCCTCAAGCTGGAGACTACAGGAATAGTAGCTGTGATTAGACCCACTGCATGTGAAAAGGGGAAGTTCCTGGAGTTTTGGCAAGCTGGGGATCGGTCTCTCCCACTCCCCAGTTCTGCCAGGTGTCTTGGTGCGGCCGGTTTGCAGCATGAAGTCAACGTCTAGGGATCAGCCTCAGCTTCTGGAGGGTTCATACGTTTCCAATTCCAGAAATGAATCGCGCCCACGTGCTTTCCATTACACAGGTAGTAAAACCTACCACCACGGTGTATTTCATTTAACGCACATGTGTAAAACATCTGGCCGTGCACATCCAGACGGCCTGCCCGGTGCTTCCCAAGAGCTCCAGCACGTTCCGTGTACATCCAGTCTTCCTGGAAGGTGTTAGAGCTTCTGCACGTTATCCTACAGCGCACGAGTGCTGCTCCAGCCAGACTGGAGCACGCCTGGAAATCCCTGACCCCCGCCACGCATCACATGCACAGTGCTCACGGCTGACACATACGCAAGATGAGAAAGTCCTCAAAATCTGTACGGCCCCGGTTCTGTGCTGGGGGGAGGCTGCTCCTGGAAAAGCCTGGTTCTGTATATAAAATACGGGGTTCAGAGCTGGAAAGGGTGCCAGCCTGCCCAGCCTAGGAGAAGGGACGGAGGTCTGCTCCCCCTCCGAGCCTCACCCAGCCGTTGCCCCGACTGCCCTCCCAGCTCTGCCCAAGGGCTGTCTGTCTGCAGCCTAGTTCCCCCTCTGGTCCTATGGCTGTTACTCACCTAGGTTGATCTGGCCCTGTCCCTCAGCTGAAGATCCCCAGAAGGACAATCCCTATCATTATTTGTCATTCTTAGGGGCATCATGATATTGCTGAACGCCCCAGAAATAAAGGAGAACAGAGATGCAAGGGTTTTTCCTTAAAGACAGGCATTTACTCATGTTTGTGTCTTGTGGTGTGACAGTGTAGGCACCAACCGTCCCAAAGGTCAGAGCAACATCCCCCAAATATTCACAGCAGTACAGACGTTGATCAAGAGCTGAGGAGGCCCCAGACAGCGGCCCCATCCCGTGCCTTTTCCTTGTTCTGGCTCAGTTTTCTTTGTGAAGAGCACAAGCAAAAAGCAGGTGGAGGTCCTGACCCACGGTCCAGGCCAAGCTGCAGGCCAGGGCTGTAGGGAAGAAGTAGCCCAACGTGTTCTTGAACAGAGAGTCATTCTTCCTCCAAAATGTTTACTTGATTACCAACAGCTTGTTGTCTTGCTCAGACTATCCTCTTGGAATAAGTTACGCAGAATCCCTCAATGAATAAAGAAATAAAAGGGAGGGGGGGGGTTAAAAAAAAAATAAAAATCAATGCTTTAGCAGGAAAGTCAAAAGAGACCATGAAAATCACTCGCTTTTCTCCAGACTTCATTGTCTGCACAAGTCTAACCAACAGGGAACGATCACATTCATACCAGTGTTACTCCTTTCAAAGCCAAATTAAAAGTCAGGCAGTAACGGAGAGGAGGCTTTTCAAAGCAAGCCCTTCGCCTGGTTCTCACCACATTTCGTGTAGAGGGATGGTTTTGTTCTACGCACAAGCCATTTTCAGAGCCATTTCTTCCATGTCAGCTCCCAGCACCAGAAAGTGAAAGACTTCTGCCATGACCATGGAGAATTCAGCTCCAGGGAGTCTCATTTCCAGAGAGACAGATAAACAAAAAGCCACAAGACATAGGGAAAAATGGCTAATGACAGAAAAGTCAAAGAGGTAGATCCACCACATTAGCAGTGCGCCCGGCGAGGGCTCGTGAAGCAGAGGGTAATGACAGCAGCCTACCACAGCCTGGAGAGGACGATTGTGAAAGCGGGGCAAAAGAAACGCGTGAGGAAGTGTCCGAAGGGCTGCAAAGCCGCAGCTGCTACAGAGATGCTCTTGTTTTCAGGGACGCTGCTACCGTTCCTGCCCAGGTTTATGCAGGTCCTGAAGGGCTGTCTGCCAGAGCTGGAGATGTCTGGGGTGGAAGTGAGGGCGTAGAGGGTTAGAGAAAAGCCCTCTTGCACCGATTTCTGTGGCGGAGGGTCGCATTGACTGGTGCTGGAAGCCACTGGAGGGTGGTGTCAGCGTCCAGGTTTTCTCATCTTTTACCTCAGAGGGTGCTTGTGCTAGCCTGGGTGGGGTGAAGGGGCTCCATGTTCCCCTGACGCTTTCCTGCTGTTTTTAATGCCCAAGCAGGGTTAGAGAGATAAAATACATCCCGTCAGAGGGATCCCCTCAACCCCTGGGGCCAAGCGCAGGGTTTATTCCCTCCGGATCCATCGTCTGCTGCCGACTGCCTTGCTCTGGCTCTCGGTCCCTCGGAGACTCTTCCCATCCCGCAGATCTCACAAACCTGGTAAATCCAGGTGTGGGCCCAGACTGTAACACCCCCCACTCAGAGCACTGTCACTTAGCTGTCACCTCCCCACCATCCTCCTGCCTGACAGCCTGACCTTTTGCACCTTCCAACTAATTGCAGCGTTTCCCGATTTCCTGCAGGACACAAAGGGAGCCCAAGGCCCTGGCTGCTGCCTGACCCCTCCAGTCCTTTCCCAGCTCTTCCCTGTTGGGTTTGCAGTCAGGATGCGAGGAGCAAGAGGAGGAGAGGACTCTGCATATTCAGCACTTGACCCTGCCTTTTCCCAGGCAGAAATTCAAATGGGACCTCTCTAGGAGGGGATCACAACATCTCCCCGGGGCATTCCTAGCTATTGTGGCTCCTCTCCTCTACCCCAGGCTATGTGTGTTTGTAGTTACCAAATGCAAATCACATTTCCCACCCTCCTGGCTGAATCTCCCAGTTTTTTTTTTTTTTTTTTTTTCCTCTCACCAGCTCGTTTTGCAATGCTCTGCGGAGTTCACAGCCCCTCCCGGTTTCACCTTCCTCTGATCTGGGGATGCGCAGGAGGTGGCTACAGGGAAGGTATTTAAGCAATCCTAATTAAGTACCTGCATCACCTCTCGGCTCAGTCTGGCTCGGGACACAGAAACTGCAGCTATTTTGCAGCTTAGCAGCTGAAGTCTCCCTTTTCTGAGGAATGCCGGTGACTAACCCCTCATTGCATTTTAAAAGATATCTTTTGGGTCTTCAGCAGCTGTGATGGAAACCTGGCAGCTGTGGCTTTACTGTCGGTCTGGGAAGGCTAGATGTCAGCAGCCAGATCAAGTCAATGGCACATTAACAACTGATAATGATAGTTAACTCACTTGGTTAACTAGGCAAGCATATGCTTCACCCCGGAGCATTTCAACTTCCAGCTCCCAGGCTTGTCTCAAACCACCTTTGACTCTCAGCTCTTATTCACTGTTAATACAGAAACCTGGAGCACATTAAGTGGAGGGGATGGTTTACAATAAAAGCTCATGAATTGATTCCGTGACCCTGCAGAGGCTATTAAAAATGATTGAATGAATATGGAAATGAGTAATTGTACAGCTGGACTCGGGGCTGAAGGCGGCCAACTCCATTCAATGAAAACCACAAATAAAGCGAAGCTCACGCGAAGCCACCAGTCTCGAGGTCGTGCTATGAGCTGCGGGGAGTTGCCCTCGGATTTCCACGACGTTTACCTGCCCTCTCGGTGCTCTGGGTTCTCCTCAGCACCCGTCTGCTTGGACTCACCCTCTCTCCCCAAAGGCTGCATGACCAGGAATCTCTCACCCCGTGCAAGCGCTTGGCCAGCTTCCGTGCTAGGGAAAACAGGGGGCTGTCAGAGCCCCCACCCCGGCTCCTGACTCCTTGCAGTTCACACACGCATGCTTAGCTAGTCCAGCTCACATTCAGACCAGAAAATAATCCCTGTCTGCCTCCGTTTCCAGCCCCCAGCACTGATCCCAGAAGCTGGCTGGTCAGAGACCTGAAGAAGCGGGTGGTAGAAACCTTCCAGCAGCTTTGCCATATGTGCACCGTAGCTGGGGCTGACAGATACCTGTAATTAAAGACAAACCTGGGCCAATGAGCAGCAGAAAGAGTTAAGACAGAACTGGTCCCCCCCGCTGTGTGTAAGGGAATGGACATGGGGCTTTAGGCTCTCCTTAGACATGTTCTTGCTTTCTCTGTGGCCAGAGATGGAGGAGGGAGGTTGACCTAGGAAACATGTCGCACAGAGGTATGATAGAATATATTTATTTTAAAAAATACGCACCAGAATCCCCCTTAGATTAAGTATAGAGGCTAAAGTTTCATTCTTATCCCCCAAGATCCTCTCTCTAGACCAGAGTGCCCGCACACCTGGTATTCAGGGGGTGGAAGGAGTGGGCTGAAAACCTTAGTGGTCTGCAAGAAGGGGCAAGAAGGAGAAGCCATGAGTGTGCCACACCTTGAGAGGGCTTCCACCTCCAACACAAGCCCAGAGGGCAGAAGCTACAGTGCCGACATTGTGAACAGAAGGCAGTGTTTCCATGCTGCCCTGCTTCGGCAGCCGCTGGGACCGCTCCTGTCTCCAGGTCTGCCCGCTATCATCCGTCACCCCTGAGAGCAGCGGCAATCTCCGTGCAGGTCGTGGGGAGGATTGAGGAGTTCTGTCTCCGGGAGCAATAGCTGGCTCTGCCTTCTTCATTTCAGGTGCTGCAAAGGGCTCTGGGCCAGTATTTGCCCCTGAGGAGGAACACTCCGTGGTGCTGGGTGAGCCCGCAGCAGAAGCCCGTCCCCAGAGGAGCTGCCCATGACCCCCTCACCTGGAGCAGCTTTCTTCCCCTGCAGCCTCCTCCCAACCAACAGCTCTCTACCCCCCTTCCCATCCATCACTCCTGGCTTTCAGGCCACTGTCAGAAACCTCCTGCAAAGAGACAATAGCAGCCCAGGGTCCCCATTCACCCCTGGAGAAAAGGGCCTGTGCGTGCGGCGTGATAAATGGTTTGTCCCCAGCTGGAGACAGAGGGCTGGATGCTGCCGACCAGCTGCAGGAGGGCAGCCCTTTGTCTCGCTCCGGAGAGGTGGAGCAGAGGTCGGCCTCTGGTCTTTGGCTTCCCAGTATCACTCAGTCTGAGGTCTTCCGCGGTAATGTGAGAGTCCAGGCTTCCCACACAGCCCACTTCTTGCTGGAGCTCCGAGCATCCCTCGCGGTTGGCGTTCGGTGCCCTGGAGGACACCAGCACGAGAGTCCTCCCGCCTGCCGTGACGCTGCTGGTGTTATTTACAGACGTATCTCTCCACCTTCCGCCGACACTTCTTGCACACCACATAGCAGCACCAGTGATACTTGCAGTGACACCTCTCCACCACCTCCTCCGTGTAGGTGTTGTAGCCACGGCCGCAGCACATCAGGTTGCAACTGTTGCTGCTCACGGAGGTCTTGTTGCACTGCCTGTCAAGGTGGGATGCACGAGTGGGAGCTGAGGGACCGTACCCATGGCCTCCTCCCAGCCCTTACATGCTCATAGCAGGAGGCAGCAAGACAGAATCCCAGAACCATCTGGGTTGGAAAAGCCCCTGCAGCTCCTCCAGCCCCACCATGACCCTCCCCCTGACCGTTCCCAACTCCCCCAGATCCCTCAGCGCTGGCTCAGCCCGACTCTTCAACCCCCCCAGGGATCCCGGGGACTCCCCCCTGCCCTGGGCAGCCCATTCCAACGCCCAACAGCCCCTTCTGCACAGAAATCCTTCCTCAGAGCCAGCCTGACCCTGCCCTGGGCAGCTTGAGGCCATTCCCTCGGGGCCTGGCGCTGGGGCCTTGGCTCCAGAGACTCATCCCCCCTCTCTGCCCCCTCCTGGCAGGGAGTTGCCGAGGGCCAGGAGGTCTCCCCTCAGCCTCCTCTTCTCCAGACTGAACCCCCCCAGTTCCCCCAGCCGCTCCCCAGCAGACCTGTGCTCCAGACCCTGCCCCAGCTCCGTTGCCCTTCTCTGGCCACGCTCGAGTCATTCAATGGCCTTTTTGGGGTGAGGGGCCCAGAACTGAACCCCCTCAGCGAGGGGCGGCCTCCGCAGTGCTGAGCCCAGGGCTCAGATCCCTTCCCTGTCCCTGCTGGCCACGCCAGTGCTGACACAAGCCAGGATGCCATTGCCCTCCTTGCCCCCTGGGCACGCTGCTGGCTCCTGTTCAGCCAGCTGGCAATCAACACCCCCAGGTCCCTCTGACTGAGACACACCGGTCTGCTTGCAAACTGGGGTCGGTGTCCGCTCGAGTTCCTGTGAGGGTGTTTGAGCAGCTGGGGCGGAGGTTGGGCACATTCTGTGTCATGCTGGGGGCAGGAACTTCCCATGGAGAAGGAAGGGCAAGGACCAGGAACTTCTGCTCCTGATAAATCTAACAGGGATTGTGAGTCACAGCCCTGAGGCAGCCCTGGCTCAACCTTCAGACCAGGCTTCATCCCTCTAAAAACTCCCCCCTGTCCCGCAATCGCTCCATCAGGAGACATGTGGGAAGCACCGCAGAGTCCGGCCTGCCGAACCGTCTGGTTACGGGCTGGCAGCACCCACGGGCGGGCAGGGAGAGGCGGCGTTTCCCTTTCTGACTCCTCACGAGGTGCATCCTCTGCTGGAGAGTGGAGCTGACGGGCTCTCAGGGAGGCCTCTCCCTTACCTTTACGCCTGCATAGCTCTGTAAGAACAACATCTGCCTTCCTGCCCCCCCCGGGGACTTTAAGATGCAAAGGTTTCCCAGCGGTGGTTTCTCCACCCGCACCTGCTTCCTGGATCACGCTCTCGAAGCAGACACTCATCAAATTAGAGCCTGAGTTAGAGCGTATTTGCAGCAGTTTCTTACCTGTCCTGTGTCCCCAGAGACCCCAGCTGTTGATTCGGCATGCAGTAGTCGGGAGAGTTGATGAGATAAACCAGATCTGTCTCCTTCACTGGCCTGACATCCATTTCTTTGGGTACCAGCTGCTTCCTGGGCCCTATGAGCCGGTGGGTCACCCTGATGGCTGCCAGGTACTTGGACTTGAGGTCAGAGGCAATTTCATCCAGGTTTGGCAGTCCTTTCCAGCAGGTCTTCACCGAACAGGAGCCTGAAACACCATGGCATTTACACTTGGTATCCAGGGAGTCACTCAGCACCTGCAGAGGACAAGAAACCAGATGAATTTGCTTCTGCTTTCTCCTGGTACCCACCCTACGGGTCAATTTGTAAAAGACTCCATGAGAAGTTTCAAGAGATGAAAGAGCTCAGCTGCTTATCGCCACCTTTAAACTGAAAGAGCCCTCGGGGAGCTCAGCCCTGCTGGAGCTTGCAGTGGAGCTGGTGGCTTCCCCAGCCAGCGCGGGTGCAGAATGGCCATGTCCTCACCTGGGGAACACGAGGGCATGAAAGCACAGAATCGCACAGCTCTGGGCAGAGCTGGGGAGCCTCTTACCTGAAAAAAAAGTCTCTCGAAACCAGAGATTAATTTAGAGAGGAGACACTGCTTTATTCTGCACAGGGTACTAGGTGGAAAGCTTCCCCGAATGAGGCAAATCAGCTGGACAGGCCTCGGCTTCCCATGAGAGGGGTGGGAAAAAGTACTGGAAGTACTGGTGTGAAGCGGCAAATACCTTGTGCTGGTTGTGGAAAGGGTGCGAGCATGGTTGGGGGGGCAGGGGGTGGATAGGAGCAGGGGGTGTCTCTGCAAACATCTTTAACTTCGTTTTAACCATTTAGTTGCCTCCTGACCTTAAGGAGAGCATCCCAACAGCCTGGCCGGAGCCTACTGTCCTATACTAGTCACCTCTGCCCCCCCCCCCGGGGTGCTGTGAGGTGTGCTGGGCTGGCGAGAGAAATCCGGGTGGGCACCGAGAGAAATCCGGGTGGGCACCATACCCACCTGCCGCCCCGCTGCATTGTTATGCAGGTTCATGGCCTTGAGCCCCTGGGTCCCCAGCTTGCTGGATTTTAAGGGGCTGTCAGCAAAAGCGGTGCCAAGCTGGAGGCCGTAGCGCAGGTTGTCCCCGCAGCCACCCCATCTGAAGTCGGGCCCGGGGACCTCGGAGGGGACGGAGCCGCAGGAGCAGAGGGGGAGCTCTCCCGAGGTGCAGGCTTGGGCGATGGAGTGCGAGACGGCGGCGGCGGCCAGGGCGTAGACAAAGGCGGATTCCCGGGTTCCTGGGAAGAAGAGGGGGAGATGTCCTTCCTCCCTGCCCCGCCAAACACTCCTCTCAAAGCTCTCACAGTGCAAAGTTTTTTTTTTTTTTTTTTTCTTTCAACAGAATAAAACCAAAGCCCAGCGTTTTTTTTTATACTGTACTTTTACCCCGTGCCACCCATGATATTACACTGTCAGCGTCCCCACCTCTACCCCCCTTTTTACGGAGCCTCTAGCAGCTGTTTTTTGTTTGAAATAGAAGTTACTGTCTGTCCATTCCTGTAGATCTAAGTCGCACAGGATTAGGGCTGGTGTAACAGCAGCAAGTTTTCTCCAAAAACACACACCTGAGACAAAATTAACACCCAAGCGCTGGAGATTAAAGCGCTGCCTGCAAAGCTACGTGGGGCGGAAAGAGGAGCACGAGCACAGCGGGTGAAGCGTCCTTTTACCTTTCAGCAGGTCAGGGCCAAAGCTGGGGGCACGCCGGATGGAGGAGCAGTTCCACCTCATGTCCGCGAAGGTCTTCTGGCAGACGCTCTTGGTGTGGCGGGCGGCCTGGACGATGCTGGGCATCACCTCCAGGTTCCTGCGGCACAGCTGGAACTGGTCGGGCACCAGCCCGGCGAGCAGCCGGCAGTGGTGGCTTTCGTTCCAGGCCACCCCGCTGCCGCTCTCCGTCAGCCCGCTGCGGGGAGAGGATGGGGGTCAGTGGGGTGGTGGGGGGGGATGCGCAGCACCCCTCAGCTGCAGAGGGGGAGCCCCCAAGAGGGGCACGGCGGAGGGACAGGGTGCATCCCCCCCCCTCCCTGGGGCCACTACTCACAGCCACTGGATGGCCACGGAGAGCCCCAGCTGACAGAGCAGCGTGGCGATTGCGCTGGGGTGACCCATGGCCAGGGATGGGACCGGCACCGGGGCTGGGAGCGGGGCTGGGGCCACCAGCCACCACCGCCCCCTTTTATAGCCCAGGGCAGCGCGGTCCTCCCCCCCTTCCCCCCCCGGGGAGGGGAACAAAGGCGGTTTCGGTGCCATTCACAGCGGGTTAGGGCCGTGGGGGGGGGTACAGCTCTAATTAGCAGCCACAGTCCCTGAAACAGCACCTGGGAAGGGATGAAGGGATGCGGGAGCAGCTCTGTGTGACGGGGAGCTGGGGCCATCCGGGCTGGCACCTCACCCTGCTGAGAGCCCAGCTGCCGCGGACCCCTTCATGCCCCCGAGATGCTGAGCCCGACGGCCGGACACCTTTGGCACCTTTGGGAGAGCCAGCGGGTCACAAAGCAAATACACATGTTTTTGCTCAGCACCCGAAACTCCTCCCTGTCCCTGGCTGGCAGGAGTCGGAAAGGGAGAACATTGGTTAAAGACAGATGGGGTTGGCACAGACAGATAATAATTTCTGACTTTTTTTTTTTTCTCCCCCCAAGAAGCTTGAAAAAATACATATTCCTTGAGCCAGAAAGAGTGAAAGTCTTGACCGTGCGCCTCCTCTGTCTCCAGACCCCAGCGAAGACCCCCAGGATTCTGTCATAACCAAGACTCCTGCTGTATACGTGTCAAT